CCACCATACTCCCCACCATGATGACAACAAACCTCTGAAACTGTTAATGCTTCAATTAAATATTTTACTTCATAACAGTTGCCATGGTCATGGTGTCCTTTCACAAAAATAAAAACCTAACTAAGATACTCTGTTTCTTTAGGAAAAAAAGATGTTTCTTTTATAAAACTATTATGTGATGATTTTCATAATATCTGGCAGACTAATCCAGAACTAATACTTATTAAGGTGCTGCATGTATTTCAAACTACTTTGAGCTTACATCCTACCTCAGTCAGAATGACAGCACATGTTAGTGAGGAGGCAGAGAAAGAGAAAAACAAACATTTACTCATTGCTGGTGAGTGTGCAAACTTGAAAATCCTCTACAGAAATCAGTGTGGAGGTTCCTCAAAAGCTGGGAATGAATGGATCTCAGGATGGGGTTATAGCACTCTTGGACACACCCATAGAACTCTACATCTTGGCACAGAGACACTTGCTCTGTAACAGGTGTCCATTGCTTCTCTATTAATCATAGCCAGAAACTTGAAACAGCTTAGATATCTATCAATGGATAGAAGGAAATGAAAATGTAGTATGTTTGCATGATATAATATTATTCAGCTGTTAAGAAAAATAAATGTATGAAATTTGGAGGTAAACCTGAATGAGGTAACCCAGCCTCCCAAAGATAAATATTTTATGTTTTCTCTTAGATTCAGATGTCAGCATTTAAGCTTTCAATTTGAATTTTTCAATACAAATAACCACAAAGCTTAGGTAACCAGTAAGTGACCAGTGGGGAGAAGGTATTCTTCAAAACAAGAAGAAATAGAGGGTAGTGGTATAAAGAGATGAAGAGAAAACTAGAATAGGAAGACTAAATGAGAAGGGTGATGGGAGGGCAAGGATAAAGAGGGAATATGTGGAGGACCATTTTGAAAAGCCACATGGAAACCTACTGTTGCACAAGCTTCCTAAATATAGATACGTATGTGAAAGGAATTTAAATGGAGTCAACAGGTAATGGGGGAGATAATGCACCAAACAGACATCTAAAACAAACAGCTCCAGAAATGGGTTGCATCTTGTTGAGTCCTTGGCCAAAGGCAGTCCCTTCAACAACACCCAACATCACAACTTATTGTCAAGGCAGTTTGTTACTCTTATAACCGAATTGTAAGGCTCTAATTTTGAAGACACAATTTACCTGTTTTCAGATATGGAACAATTATACTGTAACCCAAATAGAAGCTTAATTCTTACTGACTGACATTCATATCTGGAAGGTACTTAGCATGCTACCAGAGGAGAAACGTGATCATCAATATGACCCAGGTACAAACTCTGTGACCTACAATAGCAAATGGCTTGGAAGATTTCCTGGTACAATTGTAGCACAAATGCAAGAGAATACCTAATCTCTTTTTGGTTGTATTTAAGGCTCACTCAATGAAATGGAAACCACTTCTGACACTGCCAAAGTGACCAAGAACCTGGGACTATATTCATCATCAGCCTAAAGGAAAACTTACTACTGTGTTAAAGAAGCGGAAATAAATAACTTCTAATGACATAAGTTACTTTACCTATAGATTAGATCATCACTCAGTCTTCAACAGAGAATCTTCTTCTTAATACAGAAGCCTACAGCTAAACTCTATGCAGAGAATTAGAGACACTGGAGCAGTCCTGAATGTGATGCCCCCAAGACTTGTGTATCTATGTGGAAGAGGTGACAAAAAGATTATAAAAGCCAAAGGTGGTGGATGATTCCAGACACAATAGGACTGGTACACATTTGAACTCACAGAGACTGTGACAGCATGCACAAGACCTGTGATTCACAAAAAGACAAACTTCCAGCACTAAGAAAGGAATGTGGACACAAAGTGCCACCCCTAATCAAGGAGATAGTATAAACAATTAACTACTGGGAAAGATAAAACTCAGTTTTCTCCAGTAGAATAGCACTGGGTTTATCAATCACACTCACAGGAAGGCACCATGCACAGGGATAGTTGACACAAAATGTACTTCAAGTATTGTGTGTGTGTGTGTGTGTGTGTGTGTGTGTTGATTGCTCTGTTTTGATTCTTGTTGCATTTTTAAAAATTTGGTTGATTTATTTTTTGTTTTCAAAACATCCTAACTGCAGTTTCCTTTCCTTGTACTCCTCCTAGTGCCCTCTTTCACTGCTTTCCAGTCCCTGCTCTTGGAAGGAAAGGCCTTCCAAGGATCTCAACTGAACACAACATAATAAGATACAGCAAGACTAGGCACAAACTTGTCATATCAAGGCTGGGCGGGGCAACCCAGGAGAAGAAAAAAATGTTCCAAGAGCAGAGAAAAGAGTCAGAGACATCTCCACTCCCACTATAACCAAAATACCTGGTTAACAACCTCAGTATATTTATGAAGAGGTCCTAGCAAGTTAGCAAGATTCCATGCAGGCTCTGTGATTGCCACTTCAATTTTATTTTTCTGGTCTTCGATCCCTCTAGCTCCCATAATTTTTCCTCTATTTTTTGGGGGGGTGACGGATGTATGTGGGAGATCAGATGGAGACTCTCTCTCTACCTAATGTTTGCCTGTGAGTCCCTGCATCTTCTCCCATCAACTGCAGAAGCCTCTCCGATGACAATTGTGCATATATAAGATTGTCATTAGGAAGAATTTTATTAGTTGTTTTTCTATTGTAGGTCTCTGGGCTGTTCAGCCTCTAGTTACTGATCACTTTTTAAAGTTTGTCTGTTCTTTCATTTTCATTTTTTGAGAGTTTATTGTCTATTTTTTGGTGGATGCCATGAAGTTGGGTAGGTAGGGAGGGGGTAATCTAGGAGGAGTTGAAAAGGAAAAGAATATTATCAAAATAAAAACATGAAACAACAAATTTGAGGAAATAACTTTTAGAATAAAAACACAGATAGTGATACTGATATATTTGATAGTTACAAAGTTACGCAAAGTAAATTGTTTGATAGTTTAAAGTCACCAACTACAAGGGATTTCCTCCTTCTTTCTCCCTTTTAAAATTTTTCTTTTCAATATTATAATTTTTACTTTATAAAACTAAAATATAATTAACCCATTTCCTCTTCTTTCTTCCCCTCCAAAATACCACCTCTATCATATTAATGGCCTCCTTTTCTTTCATTGTTTTTTATATAAACATATTTTATATATTATTTCTAGTATATAAAGATATATACAAATATAATATAAGTATATATAAATGCAACCACTTAATCTCAATAGTGTTACTTGTAAGTACCTGATGCTATTTGTACATATATAATGCTACTTTATGTATATGCTTTGTTATTACATAACCAATTGAGGAGAGTTCTTCACTGAAGAAGACATTTTTTCTTGCTCTCCTCATTCCTTAGATTGCTGTATCTTTTTGTTTAAGGTTGAGGCATGTAGTTGGAAGCATGCCAGTTCTGAAATAAACACTCTAAGGCTTAATATTGATTATAATTATTTGGTTGATACATATAAATTAACACATTTCTAGTAGTTTATATTTTACCATGAATGCTCATAGCTTGTTTCCTCACATCTTACTTTCCTGGTGGCTAGATGACATCTCTCTGACTCTGCCTTCTTTCCCTATGTAACTCTGTTTGGATTTCCCACCTGGCTTTTTTCTGCCTGGCCATTGGCAGAAACAGCTTTATTCATCAACCAATGAAAGCAACACGTATTCACAACATATAGGACATCTCACATCATCAGCACCTAAAGTTTCAGTAGGGGCACACATATCTTGGCAGTAATATTATTCCTCTCTCATTGAATTTAAGGTTCACTTGACAAGAGGGCATATCATGCCTGGTATTTAGAGACTTAGCCAGATGCTAGAAACTTCAGTAGGTACCCAGTGAAGTCAGATTTGGAAGAGAACCAATAATTGTTACTTAACTAAGCCAGTGTAGTCCCTAACTACATTTTAACTATTTCCTGGCATACCCACAAAGAAGTTTATTTCTCATCCCCACTGGAGAAAGTTCTCTTTAACACAGAAGGATATCATTACAGAGAGTCACAGTTGACCAAAATGCAGATAACAGATGACTGTGTTGCCCAATTCCAGGTAATACATCTACAGTGCAACTCTTGTACATTAGGCTTAGGGTTATCAGTGAAAATGGATGGGAAGGTTTATATGAATCAGGGGGGCAGAAAGTTTACTGTGAGTTTTCAGTCTTCTAGACATGTCAGAGAAGCTACACTCATGAAGTGTTTTCAACATGAACAATACTTGAACAAGGATGACAGCAACAGAAATGCTTACATGTAAGGGAGAAATACCCCTTCTTTTTATTGTTTGGAGTTCATGCAGGCTAGCTTAGTCTCTAAATTGCTATGTATGGGACGGAGAAGAGAGACAACTGGTCCTCCTGCTTTCATTTCCTGCATTCTGGAAGTATAGTCTAGTACCATCATGTCTATGTACTCACTCACTCTCCCTTCCCATTTCATTCTTTCCTTCATTCCTTCCCTTTCTCTCCACTAGTTTAGCACATTACTTGTCATGTAGGAAGTACCTAATATGTTTTGTTAATAGCAGAATATTTCTAAAATTATTTAGTTGCATATTTTGGATACTGAACATGAAGGAAATAATTTTCAGAATATTATATTATATTTTAAGAGAGTTTATTGGCTCAAACTAAAACAAAAACAAGCAAACAAACAAAAAACAGGTTATATACCACTAAAGATATCTGCCCTCCCAAATATTCTAATTAGCACAGCCATTATATGTAAATGAACTTAACATCTACAAAAAGAATCTGGTAGGAGAATTAATATAAGGAAGGTAAATAAAATATTATTTCTCTCTGATTTAGGTTAAAAATTAAGTCAGTATAAAAATGAGAATGTAATGAAAATAGAAAGACCTTGGAATATCTTCTGAAGAAATACATTTGGTTATATTTAGTGCTTTTAAAATTGTGACTAATGCTTAATACAAATTAGGATTTTTCTTCATTGACTGAAGAATACAAAATAGTTGGTGTGCACTTATAGTTGACTTCCAAAGGATTCATTTGCAAAAGATTTAAGAGGATTTAGACAATGTTTACAGTTCCTATTTATGAAGGAGTTACTCATATGTGTCTATTTTTAGATGTGTTTTTCTCTCTAAATGAGTTATGTGTGCTATTTGTTTCAAGTGACTTTAAAGTATCCTATGATGGTTCTCAAATCTGAGCCTCAATCAGAGGCTCTGCAAGAAAACGCTGAAACAGGTTGCTAGGGCACACCCAGAGTCTCTGGTTTGGTAGTTATGGGAGGAGTCTAAGGAGTTCCACATCTAAGTAGGTACTGTGTGTTGTTTATAAGGAGTGCTATGGTTTGGGTTAAATGTGAGTCAGGATCTTTTCTTATTTTTACCATCTCGATTATTTTGTCAAAGTACAGAAAACAAACAGTGCTAGCAGCTATCCATTAGTTCAGTATGTTTTACTCTTATAATTCTTGAATATTTAACACATTGTTGTTTAAAAGTGTATCCTGTTGTGGTGGACACAGATGATGCCAACAGACTTTCGTGCCTGTAGGGGCCAAAACCAATCGGGAGCTGCCAGCCCCACCTGGACCTGAGTCAGTGGTGGACACAGATGGCAACCCTCTCAGACTTTTGGGTCTTCAAGGGCCACAATCAACCAGGAGGCCCCAGCACCACCTTGGCCATCATACCAAGTACTATGTAAGATCTCCAAGCCCAGGCATGGGAGAGAGGAAAGGAAACAACTCCATTCCATCCCTGTGGCTGGGGCATGGGGTACTCAAACAAGCACCACTTGTGATCCAACCAAGAGTTGTTGGGCACCATTGTCTTGAGAGAGAACAGGATAGAAAGAGGGAGGGGGGATGGTTTGTGTGCTCAGAAGTGATGCAGGTCTGGACAGTTGAGGGTGGTGAAGACCTGGCCACCAGAGTCCAGGGAGATGTCTGGGTCGAGACTATGACTAAGACCTAAGTCTTGAACTGTGGTTCTGGAGCAGGCGAGGGGGCCTGCGTTGATGTCTGTGGCTCCTGTCATCGCTAGGGCCTGTTTATGGGTCTGTGGTATGGGCTGCCACCTGGGCCTACGTTTGTGCCTGAGAGCCCTGCACTGCTGTGGGAGCCATTCCAATCTGGGTGGCCTGCACAGCCACCTGGGGGCCATGGTGACAATCTGGTCTGGACTCATGCCTGGACCATGTCTGGGTCTGGGGTCTTTGTTGATTTCCCTGGCCCATGTTGCCACGAGGACCCACATAGATGCCTGGGGTCTGATTCACAACTTGTAATCAACTGTGTTGAATGCCAGAGCCAGGCCAATTTGGGTGACCAAGGCTATCGGCTAGGAACATAGTTTAGTCCAGATCAGGGCTGAGGCCAAAGGCTATGTCTGGGTCTGTTGTCCTGCCACATCCAGGATCTGTTTTGATGTCTGTGGCTGCTGAGATCATCAAAGATCATGCCAAGAGTCTAGACAGCCACCTGGGGCTGTATATGTGTCTGAGGGGCTCGCTGCTGTGGGGAACATGTTGGTTCAGGTAGCCTATTCCATCACCTGGGACCGTGGTGACATCCAAGTCCAGGTTGATGCCTAGGACCATGTCTGGATCCATGGTCCTACCACACTCAGGGCCTGTGGCCCATGTTGCCAACAAAGGCAACATAGATGCCTGGGGTCTGTGCCACAAACTGTGGCCATTGAGGACAAGGCTGCTACCAGGGACATCCTAATCTCAGTGGCCTGCACTGTCACCCTGAGCCACAGTGTTACCTGGGCCAGAGCTACTCTGGAGGGAGGCCAGGGTGTGAGATGAAGTCTAGAGCTCTTCTTGTCACCAAGGACAACGTGGAGAACCAGGGTCTGGTTGGCCACCTCAGATAATGTTGGTGTCTGAAGACCTGGCTGCAGGCAGGGCTATGCAGATCTGCATGGCTGGTGCTGCCACCTGGAGCCAGGGAGACATCCTAGCGTAACGAACTACTGCCTAGGGTTATGTCCAGATTCATGGTCCTTCTGTAGCTGGGGACCCTGGTGATGTACATGCCTGCATTAGTATGGGCAGTAGGTTATCAGAACCATGCTGTGCTGAACCTGCATGGCCTAGAATGGTCTGTCCTTCCCCTCACTGGATATTGCCATAGGGTCAGACAAGCTGCTCTATCCCTCAGGGGAGAATTTGTCCTGGCACTCAAGAAAGATAGTTCTACCATTCATATCATAGGTGTGCACCTGACCTGGGAAACACACTAGAGCTGACCGTTTGGTCAGAAACCAGGTGAGCTGACCCTGAGGACATGAGAACAGAAGATCTAACACCAGTCCCCTCATCTGTCATAGGGTGGTATGGGTGAGGGAAAGATGACCTCCCCTCTCCCTATTGCCTCCTATAGCAGGTGAAAGAGCCCTGAGATCACAAGAGTAGGAGAGCTAGACCTGACCCTCACTGGTTATAGCACATGAGAAAGCAGCATCTGGTTCCCATCTGGGCAGCACACTAGAGCTGACCTTGTTGTCAGGGATGAGGGAAGCCAGTCCTGAGGGTATGAGAGCAACAGAGCTGACCCCTTCCTCGTCTGCCATATGGTGGCATGGGTAAGGGAAAGATTGCACCTCTTTACCTATAGCAAATGAGAGAGCTAGCCTCAGGGTCGCAAAAGTGAAAGAACTAGCCCTGCCCCACACCAGCTGAAGCACACAGGCAAGAGGGCGCTGCACTCTGTCTGGGCAGCATACTAGGTCTAAACCTGTTGCGGTTGCAGGTGAGCCAGCCATGAAGGTGTGAGAGTAGAAAAGATGAGCCTATTTTTTTGTTGCTGTTGTTAATGTTGCTTGTTTTTTTCTTATGCCCCCTGCATCAGTCAGGAGAGAGAGCCTTGTAACTTGCCTCAGAAAAACAGTAGAGCTGGCTCTGCTGATATGAGTGAGGGGACCCAGATCTGAAGGCCCAAGAGCAGGAGAGCTGGCCCCATTCCTTGCTGTAAGTACTTTGGGTGAGTTATCCATGGCAGTGCTGGAGAGTTCAGTCAGGTAGTGATGATGAGGGAAAGCTAACAAGCAGATGAAGGAAGCTTTCGCCCCTAGGTCCAGAACCAGAACTGGCCCACCCCAGCATTCACGGAATCTATGAACTGTTGGAGCATGTGAAGAACAACCTACAGATCCAAAACATCAGGATCTCCATGACACAGGACAACAGGGTATCCAGAAGGAGCACCATTGGAAGCCCGTATTTGGCAGTGTAACAGAAACCAAAGGCCTTGAGCAAGATCAATAACTCATGGCAATGAACACTTGAACACTTGCAACTAAACTTGAATGGACTGTGAGTCTCAACAGGCTATACTGTAGCTTCCATAGTAAGTCATTCTTTCTTCTTCTTCTTCTCCTTCTCCTTCTCCTTCTCCTTCTCCTTCTCCTTCTCCTTCTCCTTCTCCTTCTCCTTCTCCTTCTCCTTCTCCTTCTCCTTCTCCTTCTCCTTCTCTTCTTCTTCTTCTTCTTCTTCTTCTTCTTCTTCTTCTTCTCCTCCTCCTCCTCCTCCTCCTCTCTCCTCCTCCTTCTTTTTCTTCTTCTTTTATTTGTTTTGTTTTTGATTTTTCTTTTAAATTTGGTTTTGATTTGGGTGGAGGTTGCAAGGGCAAAGGGCAGATTTGAGGAGATGGAGGGATAAGAGGGATCAGAATGCTTGGAGTGAAATCCACAAAGAATCAACAAAAGTTTAAAAAATGAAGTGTTTTTTCAACTTGTGAGAAAGGAATTAAATTGTCTTAGATGATTGATTATCAAAATCAAATGTTAATTTATAAAAATGTCCAAAAATAATCTTTCTATCTATGAAATGACAATTTTGGAAGTTGAAGCCAAGTGAGTTGCATGATAGCTGTTTTCATACTTTCATGTACTTCAAAAGTAATATAGTTAGTACAATGAGAAATGTGTTCTAATTACTGTTTTATATGTGTAATTTAAATACTTAGAGAAATGTGACTTTTTATTAATCAAAGAAATATGAACTTAGATGGAGAAAGATGAAAATGTGGGCTCTAATGAAAATGCAGTTGAGTTTATGCCATCAAGTGCTTCTCTTCATTTGATATATTTTAAAGCATTTTTTACATTGACTGCTGTATTGTTGACTTCAATGGTACAGAAATACCACAAAATATGAAAATATGTTTGATGAGTTCTTAACTGATTTTTTCTTGTGATCTCTTTCTGAGATCAACCAGGACTTATATAAATACAGGTCACCATCACCTCCTCCTTTACATGATATGGAAGGAGTAACTGATGAACAGCTGTCATAATGACAAATTAATATCAAATTTTACAGTTGTTGTTCACACTCAAGATCTCTGAAGCCACATAAGAATGGCACCACCCCACTGCTTCTTTGGAGACACTGTTCACTAAATACAAAGTCAAAAGGATGCTAGCTGAAGACATTCATAAGTCACACACTTAATGAAGAGTTGTATGTAGATTTTTAAACTCTGAAAGCTCAGTCAGGCAATAAAAAATAAAATAAAATGGACAAATTCCTAGAGCAAATTTTCAAATTAAGCGAAGACATTGAAAATATTCAGCACCCTAAGTCACTAGGAAAATGAAAAATAAAACCACAGTGAGATACTCTTCTACACCCACCAAAAGATCTATCAACAGCATAAGACATACATAGTACAGCTATTTTTGAAGCTATTCAGATGGACTCATAATTTTAAGTATATTTGCCATAGACCTGACCATCTCAATCTTTCCTATAGATTTACCTATATTAAAAGAAAAGCTGTGCTCCACACGAGATGTCTCCACATAAATATTAGCAAGGACTTTAACCTTAATTGATAAAAACAATCCAATTGTCTTTCACCTAGGAAATGTGCAAACAGATCACACAAAAGAATACCGGCAAGCAGTGTACAGTACTGCTACACATGACAGTATCAATCTTTCTTAAATGTAGTAAACTAACATGAAAGACATAGAATCAAAACTCTATGATGTTATAAGAATATATAATACTCTTAGAAAAAACACAATACTGGAGGAAATAGAGGGAGGGAAGGGGAAAAGAGCTGATGCCCATTTATAGAAAATAAAATTGACATGGAAGAAGATTGAACAATGCAAAATTATACCAAATAGATCAGTAATTGAAAGAGACAGGGTCAATGGCATTTTGATTACAGAGGATGATTTGAAATATTTGTGTCATAAAGGAGTTGATCTACATAGTTGTCTCTTGCTACCTATCTTTCCAGGATCCTGCAAAGACATTGAATTCATAGATCCTAAAAGTTTATGTAAAATGATCTACTATTCATATATTACTTATACACATATTCATATATATCTTTACCTTCAAATTGCCTACAGTCTCTAATAAAGTATGCATAGCATTAACATAGTCACCACATTTTGTTGATTGGGCTATCATGCAAAAATAATCAGTACATATTCAGTGCAGATACAGGTTAAAATATTTTGGATCTGTGGTTACTTAAATTCTCCATTTGGACGCTGCACATGGAAGCTGACTATTTTGATTGTGATTGTAACCAGATGGTGGTATGTTTATCAGAACTCATGTTACTAAAAGAATGAAATTTTACTGTGTGGAAATAATAGATTTTAAGTGGCAAAACAAACAAACAAAAACCAAAGAGTCTGACCTACTGGCCTCTTGTCTCCTTCCTTATGTGACTCAATAAACATGAAAGCTGCTCAACTTGTCAGGTTGCAGTTGAGCACTCATTTGGTAATGCCCAGGAGCTGTGCTCTGCACAGTATGTGCACATCCAGCCTCTCTGGTCATGAGTTTTAGGGAGACACTGAAAATAAACAAAGAACATGCAATATATGGCTTAGAGAAGTCTTAACGGCCAATCAAGAACAAGCAATAATGTTTCATTGCTGAGAGTGATGTGCGTGCTACATGAGGCTGGACTTACTCATGGCTCAGTGTTGTGAAATGCTATCATGATGCACTTTTCCAGACTCCAGTGGAAGAATTCAATGTCTGACAGTTATGAATCCTTTCGCTTATTACACACCATTAAAATATATGATGAACACAAGGCAGAGGCTCAGCTGTGGGCTCACTGGTTTAAGAAGCTATGTTAACTATTGTTCTCTCTAAAAGTTGGGAAACTACACTATTTAGTTGTAAAAATAAATATGCATGTTAATAGCTCAGATAATTACTTTGGAAGCTGCAGGTGGACAGGTGGACACAAGCACTACTTACAGAGATCCATTTCTCTCCAAACAGGAAAACGTTGTAAGTGATTTCAAGTAAATTCTCAATCAACAATTAAAAGTGAAGCCTGACCTGAAACACCTGCAGTACAGAACGGCATGATATGAAGTGCTCTGAAACAGATGTGAAAAGAGATATTTAGTTCAATTCTAAGGACACTTATTTAGCTACCTCTGTAAAGAGGAAATATATGGATATTAATCCAACTTAGTTGACAACGTTACAATTCTTGCTCTTCTATAAATTATGTATAGAAAAATCCACAATTTCACAAATAAGACTACAAAGTTATAAAGTCCTATGATATGTGATGTTTCATGAAAATTCTTTCATGTATTTGGATCTTTCTTAACGTCCTTTTGAAATTAAACTTTGTATAAATCATTTGTTTAAGTCAATTAATGGAGAGTTTAAAGCAAATGAGTCTTAAATTACTGTTTATAGGCAGACTTTACTGTATTTATGACTGTAATTCTCAGACCACAAGTTTGTTGAGCTGTCACTTCAAATATCTGAAAATGTTCTGTCATCTCTTGTTAAGAATGCACCGTCACTGTTTACAGGAAGTCAGTGAGCTGAATTCTAACACATGGACAGAGAGTGTGGTCTTGTTCAGCATGCACCTCATGGAAGCCAGTGGGGACATTATTTTCATTCTCACATTCCTCCTGCAGTAGGCAGCTTCTGTTGATTCTTTGAGGCATAATGTTAGTATCCTGTATATGGGCTTACTGAAGATTGCAGTTCATACAAGGATGCTTTAGATGAGGTGAAGGAATGAGAAAAGAAATCAGTCACATGCCAGGTATGCTTTCAGGAAGCACTGAGTTCTGTCATTTATGTTAATTATCACAATAATCCATAGGAATGGCTTGTGGTATCCCATTGCTGTATATGAGCTATCCGATGCATCTACAGAATCTATGGAGGTATGTGAAGGATGTCTACAGGAATCAATAAAGCCTCTTTGGCTGTCTGATCTCACTCTTGCCTGCCACTTGCCAAAATGCCTGACCCCATGTAGAATGATTTCATTGGTTTCAAAGAGTGGTGTTCAGTGTGACCCACTCAGAACACAGGATTTAGCATTACCTGGAGGATTTGCAAAACATTCAGATTCTGAAACTTTTGTGTTTCTCCATTGCTAGTCTTTGAGTAAAAAGCTAACTTTTTATGAGAATTCCTTCTTCTTCATTTTCATGACATTTTACTAGCATGTCTTAAAAATAACCAGAGAAGTATGAAGTGAGTAATATTTGTAGTGTGATTATATTGAAGTTTCTTTTCGATAGCTTGAAAAATTCTCTTTTAAATGAGATAGTCTTTTGAGACTTAACATTGAAATTTAATATTTGAACAAAAATAAACATCAAACAAAATCAAAAGAATTAAAGATATTACCATATATATTATATGTTCAAAGATTACAATTCTTAAAATACAATTATGATTCCTAGTGATATTTTGCTAGACTTACATTAAATAATAATGCTAAAATATACAAAGTATTGAGTGTATTGTCAGTTCGATTTTTTGTTCCTTGGCAAATATTCTGGATATAGAAGGTTTTTTATTTATTTAGAATAAATTGTCCATACAGCATATAAAAATATTTTCCTGTGGGACATTAGGACACATCTTGTTTCATACAGCTATTTCCTTTGATCAAGGAACATACTTAAATTTTTTGCTCTCGACTTACTTCATAAGTTTTGTTAAAATCATATTTCTTGATTAGTTCATATCCAAATATATGGAGCATTATTGGATATTATATACTAACAAAATGTCTTGATATTATAGAAAGATTAAACAGCAAAACACTGTTAATTGTAAATTTTGTTTTCAATACTTGTTTATTCTCTCAGACATTAAATTACATATAATAAATTGAATATTTTTAAATTTCAGTAGTGGCTTACTCTTAATGTCTGTAGCTCTATAGTCAAAATAAGACAGCCGCTGAAAGCAAGACGTACCTGAGGAGAGCTTTACTGCTTAGCTGACTGAAGTCCTCACTTTTGCTTATCTTGGGTCCCAGATTTGTTCACCTTAACCTTTGTACATGAACTATTATTTTTTTCCTTTTTAAAAAAATTAAAATAGATTCTTCTGTAATACAATATATCCCAACCAGAATTTTCCCTCCCTCCACTTCCCCAACTCCCCACAGCCTCCCTTCACCCACAAACCCACTCTCCCCTATTTCTTCTTCAGAAAAGAGCAGCCTTCCAAGAGATGATAACCCAACAGGACAAAACAAGATACAATAAAACAAGGTGAAAACTCTCATATCAAGTCTGAACAAGGCAACCCAATGGGAGGAAAAGACTTTCAAGAACAGACAGAAGAGTCAGAGACACACCCACTCCCAGTGTTAGGAGTCCCACAGGTCACCAAGATAACAGGAATACACAGAGGATCTAATACAGGCCTATGCAGGCCCTGTCCTTGTCATTTCAGTCTCTGTGAAACCATGTGAGCCCTGATCAGTTGACTCAGTTAACCTGTCCATCTGGTGTCCTCTACCTCATCGTGACTACTACAGTCTTTCCTCCTCCTCTTCCAAGGGATTTCCCAATCTCTGAAAAGAGGGACTGTATCGAGACCTCCAATTCTGACTCTGTCTCTCTCTCTGTCTCTATGTCTGTCTCTGTCTCTGTCTCTGTCTCTGTCTCTCTCTCTCTCTCTCTGCATAATGTCTGGCTGTGACTTTCTGCACATGCTCTTATCTGCTGCTGGAGGAAGCCTCTCTGATTTTGATTTGACAAGTCACAAATCTCTTTTCCTACTCCTTTTAACTTGAGTCAATTTTGTTTTGTTTTTTCTTAAACCAGAATAGTTTCTACTTCCACTATTAGGATTTTCTTCTTGAGGAATTGAAGTAGGTATCCCCATGTTCCTGGTTTTTCAGTACATTTAGTATTGAAGAGATATACACACATCTTAAGAAATGTCAAGAAGAAATTCTTCCAAGGAATGTCATGAATAAATATGAATTCTTATTTTCTGTATATTCTGTCATAAAGTATCTTAGTAGGCCAGGGTTGAGACACTGTTCCAGTTGATATGTAAAATAAAACTATGTGTTTGTGTGCATTTACTTATTTTAGACAGAGTCTCTCACTGGCCTGGAGCCTATGAATTCAGCTAACCTAGTATGCTTATAAACCCCAGAGATGACCCTGACTTCTGTCATCTCTAACACTGGGATTAGAGACACTCATAACCATGTGCAACTTTTTAAGTGGGTGCTGGGAGTATGAACTCATGTCTTTGGATTTATACAACAAACGCTTTACTGACTGAGCCATTTCTCCATCCCTGAGTATTCATGTTTATCAAGTATCCCAGATGATCCCTGTCATCAGCAAAGCTGAAGAATTGCTAGATTGCCTTTTTATAGATAAAAATCCAAATACTTCTAGGTATGGTAACACAGTAAGTTATTATTAATAACTTCCACATTATTGAGACTATATTTCACCACAGCCCTTGTAGTCCTGAATGCTCAAGGAAATTCTTATGACATGAGGTTTAGGTGAACTCCTTGGGCATCAATGCTGAGAGTTAAGCATCATCAAAAAGAGAAGAAATGAAACTTAGGTTAGGAAGAAGAAAATTAAATCATTAGATGCTCAATTTATGTGGCATCACTATTTTACTTAGGCATTTACTAACAGTGAACAGGGGGAAGGAGATATGAAGAGAGATGTTGAGGGTCAGGGATTAAAATTGACTGCTAAAAGGTTGGGCAATAGGGAATTGTTCATGGGGACAGAGCAACAGCTATAAATGAACCAGGTATTTGTTCTGTGGACTAGGCCTGTGTTGTAACCTATCTTTGTTGTGACAGTCTGTATTAAATTGTGTTCATACCTGGGAGGGGGAGTATGGACTGAGAAATTATGGGTAAAGATGGTAAGGAAAAGACAGAGACACAGAAGAGAGTCAGGAGGGCAATTCAGTGAATACTGAATGCCCCAAGTTTATTCGACATTCTTAAATACCCCAACCAAAAATGGGAAAATGGCCAAAGACTTCTTTATCAAGATACAAGGAATAAACAGATCTTCTTCCTTAATTCTCCAAACATTTGACAACCACACTTTAAATCTCTCATTAGCGGGCCTTGAGGGTTAAGAGTAACAACAGTTCAAAGCAAGTCTCCTGTTTAGATAAGACATCCATACCTAAGACCAAACATATTACAGTAGCCATGCTGTATACCTTTAGGTCTTATTTCTTTAACCTTGGAAGAGTAAGGATAGTTTTGAATTCTCTAACCTTAAGACAAGCTGAAATAGAGCCATCTCTGGGACCCAACAACTATGTATACATCTGTTTGAAAATTAGGATCTAGAGGTGGAGGAAATACTGAAGAAGAATATACTAAAACATAAACATTTCTAGAAATGTGAAAAAAGAATATTATAAGCAAACTAAAATGGTAATCAAATCTCTATTCAGAAGGGATCAGACTTTTATCTGTGATATTCAAAGGATATGCCACAGGGCAGAAATCAACAGCTTCTACTGAGTGCCTATTATATAACAGATCTAGCTTCCCCTTAGACTTACAAGATTCACATCTGCATTCCAGCAAGGAGGTGACTGTGGGGCTCATTAGGTTGAGAGGCAATGGACTAGGCAACAGGTATATAACAGACAGCATGCATAACAACCAGCTAAAGATATGTTAAAGGCCAGACTGCTTAGATTCTTTCCTAGTGTTTCTGAATCAACAAATCTGGGGTAGGGTCCATATGTTAACTTTAAAATGGCTCCATAAATGATATTAATACTGCTGAAGCAGAGGCTACTTTTTAGAAACCACTAGTCTACACAATGCAAGTGCTCTTATATCCCCTTTAGGTTCCACATTCTTTAAAAAATTATAAGAATCTGTAGCCCAGCCATTTAGTTCTAATGCTATAATGGACTCCCAACAATGGCTCTTTCTGTTGGCCTATAATTGAGATTGTATTATCACATAAAACTAATTTCTGTGATGGAAGCCCTACCTACACTTTATTAACAGATTTTCATTCATCCTGGTGATACTGTGAACATAGAGATCTATGCTGTTTCATATCACCCTCATAGGTATAGGAGACTAGATCATGCAGGGCATGGTGATCAAAGACAATAGACTATCATTTTGTTTATAAGCCTAGCTGCTAATGGAAACACAGTGAGCCAAACTGTCTAAATAATGAGAATAATATGACTATATGGATTTATTAAATGCATTGTCCTGTAAATTAAAAGAAAATTAAACTGGCTAAATAAGGAGAGAAGTTTTTCTTTCAGTTTTTATTTGTTTGTTTGTTTTTGAGATTGTAGAACAGGTTCAGGCACCTATGTTGAAACAAATCTAA